AACAGGCACTTCGCCAAAGAAGATATTCAGGCGGCTAACAGACACAGGAAGAAATGCTCACGATCATTAGCCATTAGAGAAATGCAGATCAAAACTACCATGAGATATCATCTCACCCCAACAAGGCTAGCATTAATCCAAAAAACACAAAATAATAAATGATGGAGAGGTTGTGGAGAGACTGGAACACTTTTACACTGTTGGTGGGAATGTAAAATGCTACAGCCACTTTGGAAATCGATTTGGTGCTTCTTTAAAAAGCTAGAAATAGAAGTACCATACGATCTAGCTATCCTGCTCCTTGGAATATATCCTAGAGAAATAACAGCTGTCACACGAATAGATATATGCACACCCATGTTCACTGCAGCACTGTTCACAATAGCAAAAAGATGGAAACAACCTAGGTGCCCATCAACAGATGGGTGGATAAAAAAATTATCATATATCCACAAAATGGAATACTATGCAACGATAAAGAACAACGATGAAGCCGTGAAATATCTTGTAACGTGGAGGAATCTGGAGGTCATTATGCTGAGTGAATTTAGTCACAGAAGGACAAATATTGTATAAGACTACTATTACAAGAACTCAAGAAAAGGTTTAAACACAGAAGAAAACATTCTTTGATGGTTACGAGGGTGGGGCGGGAGGGTGAGGGTTATTTACTAACTAGATAGTAGATGAGAATTATCTTCAGTGAAGGGAAGGACACCACACAATGCAGGGGAAGTCAGCACAACTGGACTAAACCAAAGCTAAGAATTTTTCTGAATACAATCAAAACTTTGAGGGACAGAGTAGCAGCGGTAGGGGTCTGGGGACCATGCTTTCAGGGGACATCTAGGTTAATTGGCATAACAAAGCTTATTCAGAAAACGTTCTGCATCCTACTTTTGTGAGTGGTGTCTGGGGTCTTAAAAGCTTGCAAGTGGCCATCTAAAATGAATCGTTTGGTCCAAACCACCTGGAGTAAAAGAGAATGAAAAAAACCAAAGACACAAGGAAAATGTTAGCCCAAGAGACAGAAATGGCCACATAAACCAGAGACTACATCAGCCTGAGACCAGAAGAACTAAATGGTGCCCGGCTATCACCAATGACCACCCTGACAGGGAACACAACAAAGAGTCTCTGATGGAGCAGGAGAAAGGTGGGGTGCAGACTCAAATTCTAGTAAGAAGACCAGACTTAATGGTCTGACTGAGAATGGAGGAACCCTGGAAAGCATGGCCCCTGGATTCTCTATCATCCCAGAACTAAAACAATTTCTGAGGCCAACTCTTTAGACAGGGATTGGACTGGACTGTGGGACATAAAGTGATACTCATGAGGAGTGTGCCTCTTAGCTCAAGTAGATACAAGAGACTAAATGGGCAGCTTCTGTCCAGAGGTGAGACGGGAAGGCAGAGAGTGTTAGGAGCTGGTTGAATGGACATGGGGAATCAGGTGGAAAGGAGGACTGTGCTGTCACAGTATGGGGAGAGCAATTAGGTCACACAGCAATGTATGTATAAATTTTTGTATGGGAAAAAATGTAATAATTAATCGAAAAATAAAACACCCCGAAACAAAAAAATCCTTTTGGGCAGTTCTACCCTGTTACATGGGGTTGCTATGAGTACAAAATTGACTTGACGGCAGCCAACAACAATAACGTGTAGGTATATACATGCACACACACATACAGATATATATGTATATATGTATATAATTACATTACAATAACATGTAGGTATATATATGCATATACACAATACAGATATATATATATATATATAATTACATTACAATAACAGGTAGGTATATATATGCATACACACATACAGATATATATATAATTACATTTTATTGAGGTATAACATACTGTAAATTTCACTAATATACACACATCTATATGCAAACTTCTTTAACAAATTTAGCTGCAGTTTCATAGTAAACAACATTATATGCTTAATTAATTAATTTAGTCATTCACAGAACCTAAATGCATATCCTCTACTACAATTTAGGATCTCAACCTAAGAACACACATTTTAGTCATACCATTCCCATCCATCTCCCCTATGATAGTCTAAATTACAGTTCTTTGCAATTCCTGTCACCAAGAGATGAGGTCTGTTTCCCATCCTTGAATCTGGGTGGCTTTGTCATTTGCTTGTCTAATAGAAGGAGGCAGGAGCCATGTTATACTAGTTTTCAGCCTGGGCCTTAAGGAGATTTGCATTCTTTCCGTTGGGGCTCCTGGGAACCTTGCTACTGCCACCATGTGAACTAGCCTGGACTAGCCTGCTGGAGAATGAGAGTCTACATGGAACTCTCGGTGAAGTCATTGTAGACTAGCCTGTACTCAGATGACCCAGTAGCTGTCCAGAGATGTATGAGTGAGCCCAGGGGAGCTCAGTCAAACCCAGCCCTGATCGTCAGAACCACCTAGTTAAGCCCAACCCAGATTCACAAACCACAGTATCATAAGCTAAATAAATGGTTGATGCTATGAGTTGTAAGTTTTAGGGTGATTTGTAACATAGCAAAAACTAATTGATTTCAAGCTGTTATATATATTTTTTTGCCTGAAAGAGTAAATTTTTAGGAGAATATTGCCATCTCAGGGCCAATATTAAACTTATGAGTCAACAGTCTATGTTCACTGAGAAATATAATAAATATTTGTTAGCAAATCCTCTTACCTTAATGGGATTCCTATAAAAAGACTGTTTTCCAGAAGATGGAAATGACATTGCAATAATTCGGTCTGGAATCCAAAACAGTCGCTATTATGAATGCCATTATAGTTGTGAAATAATATAAAAATTTTAATTTACACATAGACTCCTTCATAGAAAAGAACTTTCAGGATTGAGAATGACAGAGAAAAGCTAACTAACACTCAGGAAAAGAGACATAACATATTAAATTAGCCAGTATAATGGTCATTAAACTTGCATGGTGTTCCCAAGGCTTACCTGGCTCTAGACAGATGGGACAGGTCTGTGTTAGCCTCAGTCTGGAACTCCCTGTGTAGCTGGAATTCGTCTCTTCTCTTAAACAACAAGTCTGGGCTCCCATGATGGTGGGAACTCCCAGAGTGCTTTCTAGCACTCCTAACTCAGAAAACCTGAGACCTACAAAAGCAGTGACCCCATTCTCTGGGGTCCTAGAAAGAGAGCAGGTCTCTCTGGGATCCTTGTGGCCCAGGATTTAACTACTGGGACTCAGTAAATTCTAAATCAAACTCAAAAGGAGTCTGCTGAATATCCTTTCAACTTCCTGTACTGCAACCAAGTAGGCCTGATTTGAGACAATGGAGATTTGCCATTGCCAGAGTGAAACTACTAATATGTCATACTATCACAGTGGCAGACGCTATTTAATTTATAGAGACTTTGTCACAATTTCTTTTACTTTAAGCATTCCTCTTTACTACAATAGCAAGCAGTCTAGTAATAGCATGTCTGCAGTGCTTACATATTAAATAATGTTTAATGTTGCATAACATAGAATAGATGGCACTCCTTTACCAAAACATATAAGCAGAGTACTTGGAAGTAGAATGACATCTGGGCTAATGCAAACAACTATTCTGAATCTCAGAAAAAATACTTTCAGGAATAAAGGAGAAGGGAAACTTTAATAGTGAAATGTCTTCATGAATGAAGAATGCTTTGAAACAACATGGCTTAGACAGGCAAGAAATAAAAACGTAACTGCACACAAGAAGAATGTGAAGTTAATGTATGTAAATCAACAGTTAAACTACACAAACCGGTAACATAAGTGAGATCTAGGTCAAATCCATCCCTCTTGTATCGCCTTTTGTTTCCTGAAACCTGAGAGTTTAAAACAATCATTAATTTGTAAAACACAATCAACATAAAATAAAGATAAATAAATAAAAATAGATATCAACCCTCTCCAGTATTTCCCAAAACACGTTTTTCTGAATTATAAACATGTTTTGCCCACTTACCATCCTTCTGGTCAGTCTTTCCAAATGCCTTTTTTGATAAGCCAGATGGAAAACTCTTATCAGAATGATTAGTCGTAGAGATCGAAATAAAACTGCCAATCTAACAATGAATTAAAAAGATCCATTTTTGCTTCAGAAACAGAATTTTGTCAATATGGGCTAAGTCTAGAGCAGTAGTTCTCAATCAGGGGCACTTCCCATCTCTACACACCCACCAGGAGATATCTGGCAATGTCAGGAAGCATTTTTGGTGGGCAAACTGAGGGCAGGGGAGCGATGCTACTAGATGCTACTGGCATCTAGTGGGCAGAGGCCAGGGATACTGCTTAACATTCTACAATGAACCCAAAATGTTAATAGTGCCAAGGTTAAGAAACCCTGGTCAGGAGGACCAGACTCTTAGAATTTGTGAATTTAACTTTTGTAGTTTAAGACCAGTATTTTTCAATTTTTCCCCATCAGAACAAACTGAGTGTTACTGTTCACCTCTGTTACTCCCATCAGTAAAAACAGTCCACTACAGCTGCAGCACACACAAGACAGGGAGCAGGTTAAAATACTTTCCGAGTGTGCTAGCTGGCATCTCTCCTCCCACCAGATACACCACACAGAGAACGGAGTTTTACGCTAGTGCTTCTCTAACTTGAGCATGCACATGTAAGAATCACCTGGAAAAGCTTGTTAACCCACAGATTGCTGGGTTCCACCCCAGAGATTCTGATTCCATAGGTCTCGGCAGGGCCTGAAGTGTTGGTTTCTAGCAAGCTCTCAGATGATGCTGAGGTTACCAGGTGGAAGACCACACTGGCTCGGATTATTTGCAAATAACTCCAAAGGCCTATCACTTGAAAACACATTTAGTTGGGGTCTGAATTGAAGCCCTGGGAGGCTGGGGTGCAGAGAGAAGCAAGCTATTTGACTAACAAATATGCCTAGCGAGCCACCCAACGTCCACATCCCAAAGCACATTTGCTCTTTTTCTCAATGTCCGATCAGGAAGAAGGAAAAAAGAGAGACATCAGTCCCTCATACACATTTTAGTTACCTGATCCCTAACAGTTCTAACTGTGCCTCAGCTTTCTTCATTTCTATCAGAACCATACTGCAAATCTCCATCTCAGCAACGTTACCCTTGTTCTCTGTTTCGTTTGCTCTTTTTTAGGGGATCATCACAACAGTAACTCAAATTTTTCATATGATCAAACCAAAACTGTCTTGGTTATATGTTGAAGCACAATGGGTATTTAGTGGGAATTTCAAAATATAAAGAAGTGAAAATTAGTACAAGAGGCCAAGTCCCCAGTTTCTTGGGTGCTTCATCTTTTTTATTCAACTAAAGGTACTTAATTGTGTACAGCCTTCACTAGTCCCTAAATGTCACCATCTTTTAGTTTCAAAGTATGTAGAAACTTACCTAAATATTTCATTTTCAAGCAGCTTATAGGTACAGAATGGGCACATTGAGAGTAAAAGTTTACATAGAATGAAAAAGCCACAGAAAATGCAAAAGAAAAAGAAACATGAAAAACTTGGAGAGGTGAATCATATGTTTCTTACCTGGGGATATTGTTCAATCCCTGAAAGTCATGAAAAGTATAAATGATATTAACCAGCAGGATCACCACAATAATGATAGCATCTAAGGAGTTAAGCATATCTGAAAAATACTGTCGTTTCCTGTAATATAAAACAAAGCCAAGTAAGTTGCCCATTAAGAATTTTAATTTATTGGATTATTTTAAATGCATTTACTAGACAGGACTAAGGAAAAAATAACATTAATGGAACGTTTTTATAAAGTAAATTTATACCAGGGGTAGGAGGGAGGAGGAAAGGGGGAGCTGTTCTTTAGGCAGCATAGAGTGTATGTTAATGGTGGTGGAATAAGTCAGGAAAGGATAGTGACAATTGTTGTACAACATGAAGATTGTAATCAATGTCATTGAATTATATATGCAAAAATTGTTAAATTGGCAAATCGTTCTTACACTTTAAAAACTAATAAATTTATATTCATTATTTTATATATATCTATGACGAAAGCATCAATATGGAAATGTAAGTTGAATTCAAACCATTAAACAAAAGGCAAACATTGCTTCCACCTAGATGGGAGGAGAAAGGTGGGGTATTGGGCAGTACTGTTGGGCAGTGGAAGCTGACACAGCCTTAGAGCAACTGGGGCTGTGACGGGGAGAGGGGTCATCTCTGCCCACCTACTCAGAAAGTCAGCAAGCAGAGAAAATCAGCTGCTGCCTCACTACCAAGTTGCACTGACAGAACGAGCATGTCTCCATCTCCTCAGAACTTAACAAAAGTTTTATTTAACTGAGATGTGGAGTTATTCACAATCTGTTATCTAGTATTTAATATACTATCAACTCTTAGTTAGGACTCCTCTGTTGATAAAATTATTAATATTTATACTTCACATATGTTGTTGTTGTTAGGTGCCATCGAGTTGGTTCTGACTTATGTACCCTATGTACAACAGAATGAAACACTGCCAGGTCCTGTGCCACCCTCACAATTCTTCAGCCTTTTGTTGCAGCTACTATGTCAATCCATCTCTTTGAGGGTCTTCCTCTTTTTTGTTGACCTTCTACTTTACCAAGCATGATGTCCTTCTCCAGGACTGATCACTCCTGATAACATGTCCAAAGTATGTGATACGAAATCTTGCTATCTTTACTTCTAAGGAGCATTCTGGCTGTATTTCTTCCAAGACAGATTTCTTCATTCTTCCAGCAGTCCATGGTATATTCAACATTCTTTGCCAACACCATAATTCAAAGGCATCAATTCTACTTTGGTCTTCCTTATTCATTGTCCAGCTTTTGCATGCATATGAAGCTATTGAAAACATCATGGCTTGGGTGAGGCACATCTTAGTACTTAAAGTGATATCTTTACTTTTTAACACTTGAAGAGGTCTTTTGTAGCAGATTTGTCCAATGCAGTACGTCGTTTGATTTCTTGACTGCTGCTTCCATGGGGACTGATTATAGATCCAAGTAAAACAAAATCCTTGACAACTTTAATCTTTTCTCCATTTATCATGATGTTGCTTACTGGTCCAGTTGTGAGGATTTTTGTTTTCTTTTTGTTGAGGTGTAATCCATACTGAAGGATACAGTCTTTGATCTTCATCAGTGAATTCTTCAAGTCCTCTTCCCTTTCAGCAAGCAAGGTTGTGTCATCTGCATATTGCAGGTGGTTAATGAGTGTTCCTCCAATCCTGATGCTACGTTCTTCTTCATATAGTCCATCTTCTCGGATTATTTGCTCAGCATACAGTTTGAATAAATATGGTGAAAGGATACAACCTTGACACATACCTTTCCTGACATTAAATCATGCAGTATCCCCTTGTTCTGTTCAAATGACTGCTTCTTAATCTTTGTACAGGTTCCTCATGAGCACAATTAAGTGTTTTGGAATTCCCATTCTTAGTAATGTTATCCATAATTTGTTATGATACACACAGTCAAATGCCTTTGCCTAGTCAATAAAACACAGGTAAATATCTTTCGGTATTTTCTGCTTTCAGCAAAGATCAATCTGCCATTAGCAAGGATATCTCTTGTTCCACGTCGTTTTCTGAATCCAGCTTGAATTTCTGGCAGTTCCCCGCTAATGTACTGCTGCAACTGCTTTTGAATGCTCTTCAGTAAAATTTTATTTGTGTGTGACATTATTGATATTGTTTGATAATTTTCACCTTCTTTTGGATCACCTTTCTTGGGAATAGGCATAAATATGGATCTCTTCCAGTCAGTTGGCCAGGTAGTTGTCTTCCAAATTTCTTTGCATAGACGAGTGAGCACTTCCAGTGTTGCATCCATTTGGTGAAACATCTCAATAGGTATTCCGTCAATTCCTGGAGCCTTGTTTTTTGCCAATGCCTTCAGTGCAGCTTGAACTTCTTCCTTTAGTACTGTCGGTTCTTGAGCATATGCTACTTTCTGAAATGGTTGAATGTTGACCAATTCTTTTTGGTACAGTGACTCTGTGTATTCCTTCCATCTGCTTTTGATGCTTCCTGTGTCATTCAATATTTTGCCTATCGAATCCTTCAAAACTGCAACTCGAGGCTTGAATTTTTTCTTCAGTTCTTTCAGCTTAGGAAACGCTGGGCATGTTCTTCCTTTTTGGTTTTCTAACTCCAGTTTCTGCACGTCATTATAATACTTTACTTCGTCTTCTCAAGCTGCCCTTTGAAATCTTCTGTTCAGATCTTTATCATTTCTTCCTTTTGCTTTAGCTACTCTACATTCAAGAGCAAGTTTCAGAGTCTCTTCTGACATCCATTTTGGTCTTTTCTTTCTTTCCTGTCTTTTTAATAACCTTTTGTTTTCTTTGTGTATGATGTCCTTGATGTCATTCCACAACTCGTCTGGTCTTCAGTCATTAGTGTTCAATGTGTCAAGTCTATTCCTGAGATCGTCTCTAAATTCAGGTGGGATATACTCAAGGTTGTACTTTGGCTCTCGTGGACTTGTTGTAATTTTCTTCAGCTTCAGCTTGAATTTGCATGTGAGCAATTGATGATCTGTTCCGCAGTCGGCCCCTGGCCTTGTTCTGACTGATGATACCGAGATTTTCCATCGTCTCTTCACACAGATGTTGTTGATTTGATTCCCGTGTTTTCCATCCAGAGAGATCCACATGTATAGTCACCATTTATGTTGTTGGAAAAAAAGTATTTGCAATGAAGAAGTCATCGGTCTTGCAAAATTTTTTCATGCAATCTCTGGCATCATTTCTATCACCAAGGCCATATTTTCCAACTACCAAACCTTCTTCTTTGTTTCCAACTTTCACATCCCAATCACCAGTAATTATCAATGCATCTTGATTGCATGTTTGATCAATTTCAGACGGCAGAAATTGGTAAAAATCTTCTATTTCCTCATCTTTGGCATTAGTGCCTGGTGCGTAAATTTGAATAATAGTCATATTAACTGATCTTCTTCGTAGGTGTATGGATATTATCCTCTCACTGACAGTGTTGTACTTCAGGATAGATCATGAAATGTTCTTTTTGACTATGAATGTGATGCCATTCCTCTTCAGTATGTCATTCCCAGCATAGTAGACCATATGATTGTCTGATTCAAAACAGCAAATACCAGTCCATTTCAGCTCACTAATGCCTAGATATCAATCTTCACGTGTTCCATTTCACTTTTCATGATTTCCAATTTTCCTAGATTCATACTTTGTACATTCCACTTTCTGATTATTAATGGATGTTTGCAGCTGTTTCTTCTCATTTTGAGTCATGCTACATCAGCAAATGAAGTTCTGAAAAGCTTGACTCCATCCACGTCATTAAGGTCTACTCTACTTTGAGGAGGTAGCTCTTTCCCAGTCATATTTTGAGTGCCTTCCAACCTGAGAGGCTCATTTTCCCGCACTGTATCAGACAGTGTTCTGCTGCTATTCATAAGGTTTTCAATGGCTAATTATTTTCAGAAGTAGACTGCCAGGTCCTTCTTCCTTGTCTGTCTTAGTCTGGAAGCTCACCTGAAACCTGTATACCATGGGTGACCCTGCTGATATTTGAATACCAGTGGCAAAGCTTCCAGCATCACAGCAACAAGCAAGTCACTGCAGTACAACAAACTGACAGACATGACTTCACATTATGCTCCTCTTATTAATGTGCGTGTAGACACATCCGCTGCCTAGCCCCATTTCGAAAGCCCTTTAAGCTTTATTTATCAAAGGAACAATTTAGAATACATTGTTGGAGACTGGAGTGCCAGTTACAATATTGGTAATATTAAAGCCACATCTATGAAAAGTTGGGATTTGGACTGTTCTTTCTCTGTGGACCATGCCTTTGAAGAGAATTATTTTGGTAAAGAGGGACACATTTGGTTGGGTTGACCTGGTAATTATTTTTGGGATGCTTCTTATAACAATACAAAATTGCTTATGCACAAAAAGTTAATCAAACTTACCCTTCTACATATACTCGAAGAAAAACATCCACGAGGAAAAATGAAGCAATGGCTAAAGAAACTGAACGATATTTCAAAGAAACCATCTGTGAGCTGTCAGTGAAAATTAGGCCCGTAAGGACCAGAGAAACATCCACAAAAACCAGCAAGACTCCAAATACCCTAAAACAGACAACATTAATTAATTAATTAAAGATAAAGGGATTTTTACCCTATGGATAGACTACAGAGTCCCTGAGTGGTGCAAACGATAAATGTGCTTGGCTACTAACAGAAAGGTTGGAGGTCCAAGTCCATCCAGAGGCTCCTCAGAAGAAAGGTCTGGCAATCTAATTTCCAAAAAATCAACCATTGAAAGACCTATGGAGTGCTATTCTACTCTGACTCGTGGGGTCTCCATGAGTCAAAGTTAACTCAATGGCAATTGGTTGTTAGACTATATTTAGGCCAATGATCAGATATCTAAAGGTCATTATTTAGGATTAAACTGTCCAGTGATAGGGAGAACTGTGTGTCCTTAGAATCTCAAAAAAAATTACTCAGTTTTCACCCAATAGAAGCAGTTGTTAGGGGAGAAAATTCTATGTCACCAAACCACTTCAAAATATATTATAATGCCCTTTTATAGTAGACACAGCAGACTAACACTCCAAGATAGAACAGGCAAGCTGAGTTAAAATACCATGTCCTTGTTTACAAACCAAGAGACAGCATGATCTAATATAAGCCTTTAAAAGACCACTTTCATCAGTAATATTGTTTATCAGTGAGATTTTCAAAAAGGATATAATTACATATTCAGGGATGCTTCTAGAACAGTGAAGGGCACATAGAAGGAATTCAATTCCATAAATTTTCACACAATTTGACTTTAAAGCACCTCCTCAGTTATTCTCTTCTATATTTTAAATATATTCTCCATAAAATTGATTATAGTATTTGCATAATCTATTAAACTTCAAAGTACTTTTTACAGTTGCAACTCATATTAAAACATTATAAATTTAAAAGGAAGCAATTATGTTACTTGAGTCTGTATCACAGTATGAAATCTTGCTCTATTGTAGAGAAGAAGTCTAAATAGAATGTTTCCAGAATTAAGGAGTAAATTCTAGTTCTGTAGGGTGTTTAATAAAACACTTTACTTAGAATTGCAGAATTTTTGAATTCATGTTTCATTATTTTTACTTTCACAGGTAGAAGAAATTTTATATTAATATCTTACTATTAGATTTAGGAAAATGCCACTTCTTTGCATGTCTCAATGTCCAGTTTAAACAAAAATTCCAAGAAAATCAGATTAAGTTAAATGGGGCACATGGACTGTTTAGTAACATATTGAAAGTATAGTCTGGAAATGTTCGTTTTGTTTTTTGTTTTTTTTCAGATGCCTTCCCTTTAAAAAAAAAATTGATATTAAATACTCAATTACTTCCATTTCTAGAGTCTCACATACCTGAATGAAAATGATGACACAATTGAATTCACAATTCTCTTAGTCTTGCTACTGCAAAAATAAGTAGAAATTAGTAATATTCTGGAGTTTCTATACATAGCACAGATTTCCTCTAACATATGTATTTAATCAAAAAACAAAGGTCTTTATAAATGTAATTTAAAAAGAAGATGCTTCAGAAGTTGTATAACAAAATGCTTATTACTAATAATTATAAAATATTTCTTTTTGTTGCATAATTTTTTACTTTCATATCTATAAGTAAATACATGTGACTAAAACACTAAACATTAGATGTCTAGTAACATTTCCCTTGTCAGTAAAACCCCAAACCCACCTTTATGGCAATATTAAACTTGGGATCATCAACTAAATCAACATAGCATGGAGGCAGGGGGAGTGCTAGAAGAGACCTGTGTTCCAATGCCGCTCTCCCATTAATGAGCTGTGGGATCCTGGGCAAGTCATCAAAATATGGTATATAGAGATAACGGAATACTACAAAACAATAAAAAGGAACAGAGTCCTGAGTATACGTATAATGACATGGATGGATTTCCAATGCATTATGCTAAGTGAAAGAAGCCAGTTTCAATTGGCTACATACTGTTTGATTCCTTTGTATCACATTCTGGGAAAAGAAAAGTTATACAGACAGAAAATAAATCAGTGATTGCCAGGGGCTGGGAGTAGGATGAGGGGCTGAAAACAAAGTTACTTGAGAAATTTTGGTGGGATAATAGAACTGTTCTGTATCATGATTATGGTGGTGGTTACAAGACTACATGCATTTGCCAAAACTCATAGAATTCTGCCACACACATAAAATTCATTGTATGTAAATTACACCGTAATGTTTAAAAGTTGTGCTGAAATCAAAAGGCAAGTCAAATGATGGAACAGGATAGAGTCTGGAAACAGACTCAGTAAGTAGGGATTCAGAGTATAATAGAGAGGGGGAGAGTGATCCCAGCAAAATGATGGAATAAGCATCTCTAAACTCCCATTACTCTATAAAAATATTGAAATACAAGCAAAAACGTTCAAAACTAACTTTGTCAGAACTTTGGAACACAGTGAAAGGTTTATAGCAACCAACTGAACTCTGAACCAAGAAAAAAGCAACAAAAATTGGTAGAAAAGCTTCGTGGCTTTTTTACATGACCATGTCCCATCCTCTCCTCAACTGAGCAGCTGTCTTGAAGATGGTAACCCACATTACCAGTACGGGACCCAGGTTTCTGACTCCAAAAGGAACAGAGTAGACTTAGTTTTTTTTTTTTTGTTTTTTTTTTTTAACATTTTTTAAATGGTACTTTAGATGAAGGTTTACAAAGCAAATTAGTTTCTCACTAAACAATTAAAACACATATTGCTTTGTGACAGTGGTTGCCAACCCCACGACACGTCAACACTCTCCCCTTCTTGATCTTGGGTTCACCATTACCAACTTTCCTGTCCCCTCCTGCCTTCTTATTCTTGCCCCTGAGCTCATGTGCCCATTTAGTCTCGTTTTGTTTTATGGCATGTCTAATCTTTCGGTGAAGGGTGAACCTCAAGAGTGACTTTGGTACTGAGTTAAAAGGGTGCCCAGGGGCCATACTCTCAGAGTTTCTCCAGTCTCTGTCATACCAGTAACTCTGGTCTATTTTTGTGAGTTAGAATTTTGTTCTACATTTTTCTCCAGCTCTATTGAGGACCTTCTATTGTGGTCCCTGTCAGAGCAGTCAGTGGTGGTAGCTGGACACCATCTAGTTGTGCTAGACTCAGTCTGGTGGAGGCCGTGGTAGTTGTGGTCCCTGAGTCCTTTGGAGTAATCTTTCCATTGTGTCTTTGGCTTTCTTCTTTCTCCCTTGCTCCAGACAGAGTGGGGCCAGTAGGCATATCTTAGAAGGCTGCTCACAAGCTTTCAAGACCCCAGATGCTACTCACCAAACTAGGATGTTAGAACATTTCTTTATAAACTACGTTATGCCAATTGAGCCTGATGGTCACCAGCCCTGAGCCCAATAATTCAGTCCCTTAGGGAGATTGGATATCTCTATGAAGCTTCCATGACCTCACCTTGTACAAGTTGTGCTGGCTTCCCCAGTATTGTGTACTGTCTTACCCTTCACCAAAGTTACCGCTTAACTATTGTCTAGTTAGTGTTTTTCCCTCCCCATCCCTTCTCTCCTTTGTAACCATCAAAGATTGTTTCTTTCTGTGTGTAAACCTTTTCATGAGTTTTTATAATAGTGTTTTCATACAGTATTTGTTCTTTTGCGATTGACTTATTTCACTCAGCATAATGCCCTCCAGATTCATCCAGGTTGTGAGATGTTTTCCAGATTCATCATTGTTCTTTATTGTTGCATAGTATTCCATTTTTGTATGTACCATAGTTTGTTTATCCATTCATCTGTTGATGGGCACTTAGGTTGTTTCCATCTTTTTGCTATTGTGAATAATGCTGCAATGAACATCAGTGTGCATATGTCTATTTGTGTGATGGCTCTTATTTTTCTAGGATATATTCCTAGGAGTAAGATTGCTGGATTGTATGATATTTCTATTTCTAGTGTTTTAAGGAAGCACCATATCATTTTCCAAAACGGTTGAATCATTTTACATTCCCACCAGCAGTATATAAGAGTTCCAAGCTCTCTGTAGCCTCTCTAACGTTTGTTATTTTGTTTTTTTGGTACATGCCACTAATGTCCAGGTGAGATGGTATCTCACTGTACTTTCGATTTGCATTTCTTTAATGGCTAGTGCCCTCACGTGTCTGTCAGTTTGTTGTACTGTGGGGGCTTGCGTGTTGCTGTGATGCTGGAGGCTATGCCACCGGTATTCAGATACCAGCAGGGTCACCCATGGCGAACAGGTTTCAGCTGAGCTTCCAGACTAAGACAGACTAGGAAGAAGGACCTGACAGTCTACCTCAGAAGAAATTGGCTAGTGAAAATCTTATGAATAGCAGTGGAACATTGTCTGATATAGTGTCAGAAGATGAGCCCCCCAGGTTGGAAGGCACTCAAACGACGACTGGGAAACAGCTGCCTCCTCAAAGTAGAGTCAACCTTAGTGATGTGGATGGAGCCAAGCTTTCGGGACCTTCATGTGCTGATGTGGCATGACTCAAAATGAGAAGAAACAGCTGCAAACATCCATTAATAATCGGAACCTGGAATGTACAAAGTATGAATCTAGGAAAATTGGAAATAATCAAAACTGAAAAAGGACACATAAACATTGATATCTTAGGCATTATTGAGCTGAGATGGACTGGTATGGGCCATTCTGAATTGGACAATCATATGGTCAACTATGCCGGGAAAGACAACTTGAAGCAGAATGGCATTGCACTCATCATCAAAAAGAACATTTCAAGATCTATCCTGAAGTACACCACTGTCAGTGATAGGATACTATCCATATGCCTGCAAGGAAGACCAGTTAATATGACTATTATTCAAATTTATGTACCAACCGCTAAGGCCAAAGATGAAGAAATTGAAGATTTTTACCGGCTCCTGCAACCTGAAATTGATCGAACATGCAATCAGGATGCATTGATGTCTTAGCCATCCAGTGCTGCTATAACAGAAACACCACAAGTGGATGGTTTTAATGAAGAGTTTATTTCCTTATAGTCAAAATGGGCGAAAAGTCATCAGCTCCAGGGGAAGGCTTTTTCTCTGTCGGCTTTCTCATCAGTGTTCCCCCAGACTAGGAGCTTCTCGGCGCAGGGACCCCGGTCCAAAGGACTCGCTCTGCTCCTGGCACTGCTTTCTTGAAGGTATGAGGTCCCCCTGTCTCACTGCTCACTTCTGTCTTTTATATGTCAAGAGATTGCCTCAGGACACAATCCAGTCTTGTAGATCAGGTCCTGCCTTACTAACACAACTGTCTTCCATCCTCCCTCATTAACAGCGTAAAGGCAGGTTTACAACATACAGAAAAATCACACAGTACCAGGAATCATGGCCTAGCCAAACTAATACACACATTTTGGGGGGGACATAATGCAAACCATGACAATTGATAATTACTGGTGATTGGAATGAGAAAGCTGGAAACAAAGAAGAAGGATCCGTAGTTGGAAAATATGGCCTTTGTAATAGAAATGATGCCAGAGATCTCATGATAGAATTTCACAAGACCAACAACTTCTTCATTGCAAATACGTTTTATAACCAACACAAACGGCGACTATACACATGGACCTCACCTGATGGAATACACAGGAATCAAATCGATTACATTTGTGGAAAGAGACGGTGGAAAAGCTCAGTACCATCAGTCAGAACAAGACCAGGGGCTGACTGTGGAACAGACCATCAATTGTTCATATGCAAGTTCAAGTTGAAACTGGAGAAAGTTAGAACAAGTCCACGAGAGCCAAAGGACAATCTTGAGTATATCCCACCTGAATTTAGAGATCATCTCTAGATTTGATGCATTGAACACTAATGACTGAAGACCAGAGAAGTTGTGGAATGACATTGAGGAGAAGAAAGCAAGAGGTCATTAAAAAAACAGGAAAGAAAGAAAATACCAAAATGGATGTCAGAAGAGACTCTGAAACTTGCTCTTGAACATAGAGTAGCTAGAGAAAAAGGAAGAAATGATGAAGTAAAAGAACTGAACAGAAGATTTCAAAGGGTGGCTCAAGAAGACTAAGATTATAATGACATGTGCAAAGAGCTGGAGATGGAAATCCAAAAGAGAAGAACACGCTCAGCATTTCTCAAGCTGAAAGAACTGAAATTAAAAATTCAAGTCTCAAGTTGCAGTAGTGAATGATCTTATGGGGAAAATACTAAATGATGCAGAAAGCATCAAAAGAAGATGGAATGAATACAGAGTCACTGTACCAAAAAGAATTGGTCGACTTTCAACCATTTCATGAGGCAGCATACGATCAAGAACCTATGGTACTGAAGGAAGAAGTCCAAGCTGCACTGAAGGCATTGGCAAAAAACAAGGCTCCAGGAACTGACAGAATGTCAACTGAGATGTTTCAACAAACAGATGCAGCGCTGGAAGTGCTCACTTGCCTATGCCAA